GACTACCATCACTAACTGTGTCTTGGGGAGCATCTGTTGTAATATTGGTGTCCTTGGGTGAATCTGCAATTAAACAACATAATTGCACAGTTATATCTACAATCGTGGACAAAAGTCCTTGGGACACTTACGTAATTTAACGAATTATCTGTGTTTTACTACTGAAGTTTGAAAAAAGCGCTGCTTTCCTTCTAAAAACACGTTGCTCTGCCCCCTCCCTACCCAATACAGTGTTGGGAAGAAATCAGAAGAAATTGCAGGTAGTAGTTTTCAACATTGTATTCGGGGTGGGGGGCGAGGTTAGGCAGGTGAAGTTGTATTCACGTCTGGCGTGTGCCCAAAAGCACCCAAAGTGCAAATTTGTCCCAAGACTTTTGTCCACGATTGTAGATTCTCCTTGAAATCTCAATAGTTGATATAAATAGAAACATCCAACTTTTAAGTTAATCAGGGTATTAGAACATGTACCTTACCTAAAATACAAGGGAAATTTATATAATTTTCAAATTAAAACAATTCAGCTTGGCCCAACCAGACTAATCACACACAACCGTTTCCTTGCAGCTGGTTGCAAAGTGGGTGTCTTGTTAACAACATTAAGTCACTCAAGGAGATTGTTTGATGCATTTGATATGTCACTAACATACTAAGCTAAGCTCTCTCCAGTCCAATAAGAATCAAGTACCCGGTACCCAGATGGGTGCTCATGTAGATGTTCAACTTTTGTTTCCTCAATGAATGACTAGAAGTATGACTGTTCCAAGTCAATGAGATGTTAGTCCATCACAGAAGTTGCCTCAAAAACTTATTAACACTCTTGGGTGAATAGTGGCTGAGTAAAAGTAAAGTGCCTTGCCCAAAAACGCAGCATATGGACCTGGCTTGGCAAAAATCCAGGTTCCAAAGGTGGATAACACTGTCCAGCGGGCCGGATACCATGATTTGTTTTGTTAACACTTACTGCACTGGATAGCGATTTATCCAGTGGATAGTGTTATCCTGGGCACCTTTTGAACAACTGGGACCTGTTGATTAACACTCCTACACACCAACTATTAAACACTATGTGTGTCCCATTGTACATCAATAAATGTGTGCTGCTCAATCCTACAGACTTTTCATAATCGTACTGAAGATAATATTTAAATGCAATCACATCACGTGAAAGTTTGCTTCCACAAATACTTGGCTGATAACATGATGACTTGGGATGTCCGAGCGAGAGTTTACAAAAACATGACATAAAATTCTAGAATATTATTCCATAGCAAACTTACATAAGACATTGACTTGGACTTGTTTTTGTTTCCTTCCACCAGTATTCTCTGCTAGACATTTGTACGGACCAGCCTCCTTATAAGTAACAGATGGAAAAACCACCTTTGCAATCTGTCGTGCCTGCATTACAATACTGTCATCTCTTTTCCATGTCACCCTTGGCTTGGGTTTTCCATCAGTGCTACAAGTAAGTTCTTTGGAGTCACCTTCATTCCATGTTAACTCTGCAGGTAGCTGTGTTATAATTCGTGGAGGATCTACACGCACAAAATAAAGAAGTTGTGAAGGAAACTTATCTTAAGTACAGGACTGGAGTCACCACTTTTACCATTAATAAAGTAATGCTGGGGCAAATGGAAATGAAGGCAGCATTATATTACACACAGATCCGCTCAGTCTTGGTTACCCCAATCTCTGACTGATGCATTTTTGAAGCAGTTCTTACGATACCTGTAACACAAGATTACCACATCGGAAACATATTTATTTTAGTAAGAAGAAAACCGAAACATTGCTTTTGAAAAGTGAAAAGCCTAGTACATCATTTTCATGTGCGATGTTATAGGGACATGAAGCAGGGAGATATTGCAGCGACTGTTATTCTAGAGTGATATGCCCATTTTGGCAGTCAAAACTTTGTACAACTATTATTTGGTAAACCCATGCAATCTTAATAATTTGAAAAGAAGAAGTTTATAAATTGAAAAATGAAGAGTCAAGATTAAGCTTTATATATGTTTCCAATCTACTTGTTTAGAAACACTTTTTAAAAAAAAAAATAAAAAATGCACCATCGGCATTTTATCCAATGACTGACCATGAGCAACTTAAGTGCACAAAGAAGGTCATTCCCTGATGCTTTTCAATTAGGCACTTTAAGTGTTCTGTATATTTATACTGTCAATTCTTGAACAATGAAAATTTGTTCAATGGTAAATAGTTCTGATGCGATAGATGTTTCCTGGCTGATCTAACAATAGCTGTGATCATGCAGTTTAACTGCATAGAGCAGCAGTTTCTCAGATATTTTGGCAAGGCAGTTAAAATAATTTTTAATTCTTTCTCAACAGATTAAATGCCACTAACTCTGAGTACATAGAGCAGGAGTTTGCCAGGCATTGTCATAAGGCAGTTAAAACTTTTTAAATTTTAGTTATTGATTGATTAAAAGTAATGGGATTAGCTTAAATACATAGAGCCAAAAATTCTCAGTTATTTTAATTATAAGACAATCAAAACTGTTCTGTTTTATTTTAGTTTATAGAACTCGACTATCTATTAATAAGCTTTCTCCACTGACAAAACATCTGCAATAATTAACCATTTCTGAACTTACTAAAAATCTAATCTCCTTCTGAAAAGGCCGATTTTCACCACTATAACTGTAATCTGACATCTAATCTTATATGTCATACAACTATATACTCTAGAAATAAAATTGACTACTTTCTAGTCTGGATTTCCATAGCTATATATTTTTTGTATATTTTTTTGGTGGCTATATGGAGTGAAATTGTGCTCTGGTCAGCAGAGTTAACAAAGATTTTTATAACCCAACCACAGAAGCAACTGAATACGCCATATGCCCTGCAGTTGTCCTTCATTCACTGTTTTATGCATCCCCTAGTCTTCCTGAGTTGACATATTAGCTTTTTTGAGCTAATTTAGAACTGCTGGGGAAGTTGCTGCACTTCGAAGTCTTGGATTAAAACCTGAAGGTACTTCAGATAAATTCTTTAAGGTTAAATCATTCTCTCAAAAATAATAACATTCAATTACAAACCATTTAATTTTTGAGCATTTGTGTGAGCCCATACAAATGATTTTAGGCATCCAATGCTTTGGCAAAATGCTGTCAAAGTAATCAATTCCAATTGTATAATAAACCTACCTTTTGTGTCATGTCAATTTTTTTTTTCTCATTCTTGAGAGCTTTTGCAGTTCCAAATATGAAAATCAGTTCATTGCTTATAATATTCTCATTGCTGAAATTATCACCCAATACATACAGTCCTTTAGCACCAGCTGTCAGCGGAAGTTACTAAAGTGCATATATACAACCAAATCGGAAAATTTTTCCCAAAAAATGACTTAATTTTGTTAACATTTTCCATTAATGAGTTAAAAAGCAATAAATCATGGCTGACCACTTGCAGGTGAACATACCTGGATTGTAAATCAAATCACTGTTCTTATGGAAGTGGTTTTCTACAAGTTACTAATCAACAAATGGAAAATTGATTACAAACACTGTAATTGAAAATATGGACTACAGAGTACATGTTTCAATGCTCTGAGAAAGTTTTTCTGTAAAAAAGTTCATATAAGTATGATTTCATTGAAATTGACCATATGTTATAACATCCACAGGACAAAGCCATTCATCATAGAAGCAAATAAATCTCTATCTACAGTAAAGATGTTGTATGTTAAATACTCAGTCAAGTAGTTGTTCTCAATTCCTAGCTAACTGCCCAATCAAACAATTTTTCTATGATATGATAAATTACATCAGAACTTGCTTAATTTATATATTGAACTTGATTGGAAATTCATTTTCTTTATTTTAATAGTAGGTTGTCTTTCAATTACAAAACATAGCATTGTATAAATGCTAAAACACAATCCCAATGAACAATGCACCACAAAAAGATTGAGTAATGCTATAATACGAATTCACTAAGCTTGAAAAATGTCATATGATAGCAGGAGCCATAATCGGGGACGGAGACCGTAAGCGCGCGCCATTTCTAGTATTGGGGTTGTCCCTATGATATGGGACAATAATTCTATTTTTA